GTTTTGTGACTGGGATGCTGAGGATCACAAAACAAGGTGTGAAGTAACCATGCAAATTACTTGATACCCTTAAGTATTTACCCCTCAATCGATGTGCCGGTTAACCACACACACTCCATCGATACTATGATAAATAGTAAGTTACCCTTTGCTTACCTTGTTAAATACGAGTTAGTGTGCCAGTTAACCACACACGCTCCACTAACCGACTTAAACAAAGTGCAAAGTGTAATTTCATGGATTAGCACCTTATTCAAATTTTCCTAAGTAACTAAGATTGGGTATTATTAAGAGTTTAGTTACTTAGTATTTATCATTAATACTTTTAATTAAGGGAGAATTATAGTCTTGTCAAACCCGTTCGGCTAACGACCTTCCACCGGTCAAGGAAGCGGTGGGTGAGAGTGGACACCCATTAAACTACCATTTTATAGGCAGTAACCTTATACCCCCCTTATAGACCGGCTTCGTGAATGAGGCCTACTAACGGTAAGACTGGCCTTACTCTTATACATATATATACATATTATTAACTTATAATATTATAAAGTATAAGGGTTGAATTTTAACTTTAAAAATTCTAAGGGCTAACTTGGAATTAAAGTATTCATAAGAGAACACTTTTCAAATTCCAAAACTTGAGGGCAAGTTTTGAAATTATTCAAAACTAATTAATTCCATAACTTATGTGTTTAAAGTAGTTTTAATCCAAAAACTCTTCAAGTTCCATAACTTGAGGACAAGTTATGGAAGACTTTAAACTAATAAAAGAATTAACTTATCTTTATTTTATAACTTATGGAATTAATTAAGGTTACACATTTTATTACTTAATGAAGTGACTCTTGAACTTCCATAACTTGAAGACAAGTTATGGAGTCATAAAACCATTCAATGAGACAAGACTCTTCATTTTTGTAACCTTTGCCAACTTTTATGAGTTTTATGAAACTTAAATGTGACTTTTCATATAACTTGAGGACAAGTTACAAAAACACATTTTAGAATCAACTCTTAGATTAATTTGGATTGAAAACAACTATTTCACTCAACTTTTCTATTAATCTAAGCAACTCATAAGAACAAGATAATTCAAATCAAACTTTTTCATGTAATTAGTCTAAACCTTAAACTAATACAAAACATGAATCTATTGACAATTATCTTTGAAATTGGATTAGCATGAACATTACCACATCAAAACAAGTTTATAAGTCCAAAAACATCTTAGGGTAATGTTCCTAGTCCAATTCCAGCCAAAAAAGTCAAATTTATGCTGTCTGGGGGTCCAACTCGTCGAGTGCATGAACCAACTCGGTGAGTTGGATCAATTTGATCACTTTTTATGCATGGACTCGCCGAGTCTGATGATCAGACAACAAACAACTTCAATTTTTTAAGCAGTTTTGCAAGTATAACAAGAAAACAAGCCTAAACTCTGATACCACTGTTGGGTTTTGAGCATTCTAACACTCCTAGGTGTACATGCAACCCTAAATACCTTGGATCTATGTTTTCTCTATTATACATGCAAATAAGATCTTTCAAAGGCTTTAATCCTAACTAGCATATTATGAAGTTCTTATACTACAAAGTACTAGTTAGATAACATACCTTTTGATGTAGCTTGATGTCTTCAAGCTTTAAGAGCTTAGCCTCAATAGTGTGGAAGCCTCAAGTGGAATCACAAATCACCAAAACACCTTAGAAGACTTTAGAGAATATGAATACTTGGTTCTCTTTAGTGAAATCGGCTAGCCCTTCTTACTGTACCCACACTAGTCCTCATTTCACCAACCAAGGACATCTTTATATAGTATGGAGACTAGGGTTAAACCCATGACCTTTCATTTTATATGATCCATGGGTTAAAGACTCCATGGACTATCCATGAAAGCTTAGCCCAACCTAAATGAACTCGGCCTATTCCATATATAAGAGTCCATATTTAATTAGTTCATTTTGATCACTTAATTAATTCTAAATTAAGTCTTGATCAATACTAATTAAATAATATGATTCCTTATTAATATATTAGAACTTATAATATATTAATATAAATCATAAATATACTATTGTCAAAAGACTATCCATATAAATTGTGTCAGTGAAGTGCAACCCAAATGGACCATGCCGGGTCGGGTCAAGTACATACCAAATATAGTTATGGACTTAGACATTAATCCAATAATGATAACATCTCTAATCAATACCCACCTGACATCACCTCTCTAAGAATGAGTAGAAGACTATTCTACCCCTCCTTGATGTCTCTCTTAAATCAGTTTGACCAACCCTAAGTTCAACTGAAGTCAACTCAAGTTTGACCAGACTCGTCGAGTGCACTCGGGTGACTCGACGAGTCCATGCGTGTCCTCTGAATCCTCCTAAGGTCTTACTCGACTTGTCGAGTTAACCTTTCACTCGACGGGTTACCACTGATCACGAATCGTGGGTTAACCCGATCCGACTCATCGAGTCCTCTTATGGACTTGGCGAGTTTCCTCCATGGCAACACTCATTTGACCTTCTGAGGTCAGATATAATTCTCTAACCTATACATCTGACTTTCTAACACCCAAAAGTCACGTAAAGGTTCAATCTTTATGTCCATGCAGCACACATCAAGCTCTATTTGATGGAATAACTCTTAAAATGGCAACCTATATTCAAAACTCCAATGGGACTGCATAGAGTTGGATGATTGGGACTCTCTGGACCTAGAAGGGTCCAGATCTATAACACAAACTTGCAAGAGGGGTTTAAGGCATTCAAAACCCCAAAAATGAAGTGATTAAAGCCCTAACCCCAAAAATGGAATCTACACAAAAAGGGGTTAGATTTGGTACCTCATAATGAAGCTCTTTGCTTGAATAACTCAGAACAACAACCTCTTCTGGTCCCTCTTGCTGGAACTCTTCTCCTCTCTTGCAAAATCACACCAAATAGCTCAAGATAACTCTTTCTCTCACTCTACACACTCAAGCTCGCTAGGGTTCTCTCTTCCGGAAAGGTAGCTGCAATTGAAGGCCATAAGTGCCTTTAAATAGGGCTCAAGCCCAAAGATTTAGGGTTTCTCTCAGCAGCGCGAACTCGTTGAGTCCATTCATTAATCTGAATCATCAGTCGCGACCTTACTCGATGAGTTTAGGCGTCCACTCGTCGAGTCACACTTCTTAACTCAAAAGTAAATACGTAAATTATGATACCTGGAAATCTGGATGTTAAAAAGTGGTTTTAGTCACTTGATATTAATTTTGCACGTTGAACCGATTTTATTAGTTTAACCTTGCTTAAGTCTAAAAATGATCCTTTTTTTTAGGTTGAGTTTGATACACTTCTAATTGTCTTGGCCAAGTCGACAAAACTCATCTTAGTAGAAAGTTAAGTCCAAGCAGTGGCAAGTCTGGAAGATAAACTCACGTGGTTCACTATTTAAGTGAAACATATAGAAATGAAAAAATCAAAAAGTACTATTAGCATTTCAGGCTGTATAGTTTTGAGGTTGGAGAGGTGCCTTTTTGCAACTATGCTCTTCTAATTTCACCTATTTGATTCATATGATAAAAATTCATACTTGATCGTTCTGTCGGATCAACAAGTATGAAAGATAAATCAAAGGCTTGGAATTTGAAAGTGATCATGTAATGTGATTAAAGTATTAAACAAAGATCAAAAAGATGAAAAATCAATTATCAAATTGCCAGGTATATCGGCAAAATCGCCCCCGTGAATCAAATAATAAAGATCCTGGAATTTGGTTATTTGAAATTTGGAAAACAATTAAAAAAATTGTCATTTGTCAAATACATTAACAAATAAACAAAATCACCACCCCTAGTGAATCGAGGATTTGAAAACAAATAACAACAAACATTGGAAGTGATTAAGTGAACTCTTAAACATAATTAAATAAAGTTACAAAGACCTTAAACCAAATACCATTATACCAAAGTACTACAATTGGGAATTGAGAATTACGCAAACCTGTTGAAGTGAGTCTGGCTAGCGACCGGTAGTGGTGTCATTAAAAGCAAGGCAGGGGATTAGGTTGAGGGCATCATGAATGATTAACGGTCGTTTTAAATTTCCATAATTTTTAATGTTTTTTAATTATCAATAGGTCATTGTTTTATTGGGTTATACAGATGTTGATATATAAATAAATTGTATGTCTTTAAAATTGTGAATTGTGATATAAGTTTTTTGTTTTTTTCCAAGTTTTTAGGTATTTCATTCCAAATTTATAAGGTAAATCATATTTTTTTTGTTATATAAATCTGTATAAAATTAAAAAACTTAGATGGGTCAAAGCACCAACCTTCACCAAGAACAAACTCCTTACTGAGTCCAAGTAATTTGCGGAGTAATCGGCTGAGTTATTCCAGTTTTACAACAGTATACACAACCTAACCCACAAGTTCGCCACTGAGTCTTAAGAATATCTCCATTCGTGCGCATATGCTCCATAATAACTTTTTTCATCTTTGATGAACTTTAAAACTAACTGAACAAAAAAAAAGATCTTCTATTATAGATGTTCTAACGAAGACCTACACTCAAGGAGTAGCCGTGTAGGGGTCCCGGGTGAACAGTGTTCACGTGACTTGTACACACTACAAGACACACCCACGAGGTTCATCCATCACTTTACCAATTCTTCAAAGACTAATAATAAAGTAATAATGCATTATGGGTTGGTCCATTCACTTCCAACTGGATTTCGTGTTCATCTATGTTATTGTTTTAAACAGTATTACATTTTTGTATTTGTTCATTTAACTCATACACCTTTTTTTGTACATACTATTATATTGACAAATTTAACTATTTAGTTAAACAATTGTTTTTTTTTTTTTTTGTTTTTTGTCAACCAAACCATGATTTTGGTCCCATTATAGTTTAAATTTACCAAAAGCTTTGACAAGCTTTTACCTAAATAAAACGGCAACTGAGTTTGCAAAACTAATAATTACAGTTTACGCAACAATTTGCAAAAACACTAATCATTACGTCAAAAAAACAACCATTCATGACTAATTTGAATCCAGTGTCTGTTTAATAACTGATTTCAGTTAAGAACTAACAGAAGTAGTCGAATCAAGAATCAAGTAAAAGCATTTTAAAGGCATTGTTAATTGTAATTGTTAGAAGCTTTCTTCATTTGAAGAGCTCTCTTATACGGAGGGTCTATCGGAGGCTGCACAGGATCCAAGCTCTTATAACTTCCGTCCGCGGCTTTTGTAAGCGGATATGAACGGTCAGAGTCATAACCACTAAGGTCCCCACAAGCGAGAAACGGTATATAAATCTTGTTTGGCCCTTCCAACCATCCACTACTGCAATCTGTCATATCATATCATATCATATTCAATAAATTTGTGAAAACTTTTGCATTTGTGACACTGGACTAGACAAACTTTCTAGGGTTTTTTTTTCTGATGATGAGTGACGCGGAGGGCATTTCCGTCCTTAAACCATACAAGAAATCAAGAGCGAGCACTGTCCCATTTTGTTTCCACCTATTTTGAATGAGACAAAAAGTTATAGTTTTTTTGTTTGTCTTATTGGCATCAGTTTCAGTTCCAGTCCAATGCATGTAGAATGCTGAACAAGGTTGTCTGTTGTGTCATGTGTAACAAACGGGGCAGGACAAGATACAAAAGATTGTACTGCGTTTGGTGTGAATTGGACTGGAACTGGAATTGATGTCTATCAGACAAAAAAACTGCAATTTTTTGTCTTGTTCAAAAGAGGTGGAAGAATGGGACAGGGATCGCTCTTGATTTCTCGTATGTTTTAATGACGGAAATGCCCTCTGCGTCCACATTATCGGGAAAAAAACCTTAGAAAGTTTGTCTGGTCCAATGTAACAAATTCACATATAAGTAGGTTATAAAATATTAAAGTGTCAAGAAAAATGGTAAAATAATAATACCTAAGTCATCTGCACCAGATGGAGTTCCAACTTTCTCAAGGAGGCGATGCAAATCTTTCTCATTGAACCCTTCAGGAGGGGAATAATTCTCACAAACAGCAAATGCTTCTGTTTAAAAAAAAATCATAATTTAAAATTCATATTTAATTATTAAGTCATGTACTCATGTACTCATAAATAAATATCAAAAATACAATTTAGAAAATTGAAAATTAGGAGTGACCTATGCTTGAATTCCGGCTACTTTTTGGTTTTGCAAGAGTTACTTCAGTGAAGAATAACTTTAGCTGCAAGAAAAACAGATTATAAATTTTAAAAATAAACAGTTTAAATAATTAGGAAATCATTAGATAGTATTTGAACCTGACAATATAGGAGGCTTGTATCCTTTCCCCTGAAGATCTTTGCAATAAATTTTCCACCATTTTTCAGTATGTGAGTTACAATTGTTAACCCCTGAAAATCAAGTTCATTGACATTATTTAACATTCCAACAAAAACATAACATATTCCATCCAACCAAACAACAACACCTAAGCATGCATAACATCATCAAAGAAGAAAATTACATTTACTAGCTTCTTACTAGATAGGATTAAACTTATCTAATATTAAATATGAATTTTAATTGGTTGAATAATCACTAAAAATTAGAAACAATTACCGCCAATATCAGTTGTGATTGAACAAATTCATCCATGTCATGAAGTCCAGTTACTGCATTTGGAAGGTGGAAAGAAGCATGATGAAGAAGACATCTCATATCATATATCATATATATAAATTATATTAAATTGTGGAAAATAAAACAAATATGAAAAAAAACAAAACATATTAGTAATATTACCATCAGGAGCACCATCACATACAACTAGATCAGCCTTGCATCCATCAAAATGCCTAATTACCTGAAAATACATACCAAACAATCATATATAAAAGGAAAACACCAATGACATAACATGGCATGACATATGTCAATGGTGTGCAAAAGACGTAAATACCCTCCTGATGGCCTTTACTGCATTTGGCATGCATTGGAATCAGATTGATGTCATTAGGGAAAAATTACATTTTCCCCACACAAAAGGTGGAACAAAGACTCGCTTTCTTTCGATCTCTCATCTGTGAAAAAAGACGTAAACGCCCTCCTGGTAACCTTCTATATGTATTTGGCATGCATTGGACTAAGACTAATACCAATGGGACAAAAAATTGCAATTTTTTGTCCCACCCAATTCCCAAAAAGGTGGAACAGTGACACACTATCTTTTGTGCAAAAGACGAAAATGCCCTCCTCATTGTCATCATCAAAAATAGCCATTGTCTCACTTAGAAGAGATGAAAAAAGAGAAGCAAAAACACAAAAAAAACACGCACCACTTCAGCTGTTCGAGCATTTGTTATGTCTCCTTGAACTTGGATAACACCTTCAATTGGAGCCATGGGTTGTAAATCAATAGCTACAATAAGTGGAAGATCATCATCCCTGTAAATTATGATACAAAATATATCATAAAGTTAATGTATAAGTTTTAAATACAAGAAATTATTTTACATTGTTAACAAACTCACTTTGAATCAGATGAGAGCTTAGCTGGGAGATACAATTTACGACTCAAAACCTACAAAAAAGTATCTTTAATGAATACAATATTACAGAAATTGGATTATAATTATACTATTGTTGCAATCATATTTCGTAAGAAGCCAATTACTTAGAGAGGAAATTTAAAAGTTTTTTATTGTTTTGGGTCAATCCACAGCATCACATACCTGACTCCAGCTACCAGGTGCAGCACATAGATCAACCACATGCTTAACTCCTGAAAATTAAAAGCATTAAAATCATCAAAAGATAATTGTGTCATGTTATAAAATTGTATGAACATGTTTTAGTGTTTAGAAGGAATCAAGAATTCATGTAATTTGCACCTTCAAAAATGTTGAATTCTTCATCAATTTGAAGAAGCTTGAAAGCACTTCGTGCACGCCAACCTTCTTCTTTTGCTTTGCGATAGTAGATATCCTATGTATAATTTATGTCATGAAGATAAGGGTAGAGAACCAATAAAATCAAAAGAAAATGTAATGCATGAGAATGACGATTGTACCCTTTTATCTCTCGAGGCTTTTCCCATTATCTGCACTTGTTTGTAGTGTAGTGTAGTGTGTGCAACTGACCTTTACACAAGATGTTGGAACACAATTAGTGGAAGGATCGAATCAATTACTAATTAATGATATACAACAAAAAAGGAATTTTCTCATAGTACTTCATTGTTAAAATAGACATTTACTTTGAATTATAAGCAAAATTTACACATATTGAGTCAGCAAAGAGTCCCATTCTCACTTCTCTTCTTCAAGTAAGCACTCCAGGTTGCAACTAATGGGGTGAATCATTTACAATTTGGTTCAAGCATTTTATCAAACACCTTACGTGCATACTAATTTGTCACACTGTAATGTTTTAATTGAAAGATGAACTCCATTGTTGAGACTGAGAAGCTAGAAGTACTAGTTATTAGACAGAAATGAGAAGTTGCTTTGAGGTCAATCTGGAATCAGTGTTAAATGAAAGTATGTGTGTTTGATAAAAATTGTGAATCTTAATGAAACAAAAGATGGTCAAATTATGAATTTAACTATCTGAATCATTTCAAACAACAAGATTGCTTGATAAAACTGAAAGATAAACATTAAATGAGAAGAGAACAATTGTTATTTTTACCTAGACATATCTGACTGGTTAATTACAAAAGGATCCACATCCACCTACCCATTTTCAAGGATTTGATACAATTCTATGTCTATTACGAACAACTACCAATAGATGCACCAAGTCGAAGAAGTTCTGACTTCCATTGTTTACAAAAGTTCAACTGACTCGTCAAACTTAATCATACACACGTACTCAAACTTGAAGATCAAATTTGATAGAGTAAATGTAAATCATTGGGGAATATTATCAAACAGTTGGTGTTCATAAAAACATCACTACATAAAGTTGAGACTAAGACAGATACTAAAACGGCAACAGCTGAGTATCCATTAATAAACAAAATCCTTTGTCACAACTACACTTCATGGCTTCATCTTCACTACCAGAGGAGATTCAACAAGCACATAAGAAACATGCAAAAACACAAAAAGAAGTGGCAAGATAGAAAGGAGGTCATAGAAAACGCAATACCAGCAGAGAGGAGAAATCGCTGAATAAGTTCCAGGGAGGAATCGAAGAGAGGCGCCGGATAAAAGCAAACGATTTAATGCATTTACATATTTTAATATTGTTGCATATAATATTTTATATGTAATATTAGCTTTTATTTTACAAAATTTATAACTTTTTAACAAAAATTCGAAATATATAATATAATATTAGTTTTTTTTTTTACAAAATTTATATTTTTAATCAAACCATATAATACTAAATGTAAAAATTCTAAAAAAAAATTATACGTTCATACAAAATAAGAATACAAATTACAAATAATTCCTATGTAATGTGTCATATTACATTTCTCACCATAATTGGATATTTACAAAGTTTTGATCACCTATATGTATGTAGGTTGTCGTCTGCAGATTTAAATATATGTTGTTTGGAGGGAGCAGAACTATGTTTACTAGCTGAATGGAGCAAATTACCCTTCGCAGGTGTGCACTTTCACTCATTCTTTGTTATTAGGCATTTCATCAAACACTTGTTAGGCGCCACTAAGTTATCGACATGTTTTATTATTTACTTAATTCCAGCAAATAAAAGCAAACAATTTAATGAATTTAAGTTGCATTGACTAAGTAGATGAGATCGAAATCAATCGTGAGAAGAAATCGAACTAACCATCATCAAGGTGGAACAACAATCACGAACACAGTAATCACACATGAAAAGGAAATTGATGTGATTGATGTGCTTCATGATTCCAGGAGCTGTACCGAACCAGAAAATTAAGACTTACCAGGATATCGGAGAACGCTGTAACCGGCGGCAAGATCGGAGACTAGAGGCGGAGGTAGGAGAAGGGTCGGCGGTAGAGAGAAAGATGGCAGCTGGAGTGAAGTTCGTGGAGGCGAGTTTATTTGATACTTGAAGGATAGAAGGGTAGATTTGGAGGATCGTATTAAGGGGCGGGTATTTCTTAAACGGCGGTATTTTTTTTTTTTTTTTTTTTTTGGATTTTCTTGAATCGGTTTTTTCGGTTTGAATTTTTTTTTTTTTTTTTTGTCCAATTCGAATACCGAATCAAATTGAATTTAAATTATCTAGACCAAACCGAAAATCGAATACTAATTTGGTTTGGTTCGGTTTTTTTTGTCTAATTCGGTTTGGTTTAGATAATTTGAATTCGATTTGATTTGATTTTCGAATTGGCCAAAAAAAAGTTTCAAACCCAAAATCGAATTCTAATTCGGTTTGTTCGGTTTGAAAACCGAGTAAACCAAATATTAACTTAAAAAATATTTCAAACATAAACTAAAATATTTTTAAAATATAAATCTAAAGTTGTAAATAGAAATCTCTAAAGTTTTTATACAAAATGATCCAAAGAGTAAATTGTTTAAAATTATTTTTATTTTATAATTAATACTTTTATTTAATATAATATATAAAATATTTTTTTAATCAATTAATTTATAAAATTCAGTTTTTTCGGTTCGACTTGGTTTACACTTCATGAGACCAAAACTCGAATCAAAAATCAAATTCACAATTCGCTTAGGTTTCAAACTAAACCAAAAGGCGAATTTGAATACGGTTCGGTCTAATATCGATTTCGATTCGATTTGGTTTTCAGATTTTTCGGTTTCAGACCAAATAATTCCCCAACCTAGTATTTCTTTTTAAAAATAACAAGAAAGTCAGGTACTTCGACTTTTTCTAAAATGACTTTTACAAGAGAATGAGAATTACGAAGGTGTTCTAAAAAAATGTTTATTCGCTGGCCAAACACATTTTCATACTTATTTATTTTTAAAAAAATCAGTAAATCAATAATCTTTTAGACCAAGTCCAAAACTCCCCTTACATGTTTGACAATATGCATTTGCATCAACTATAAGACTATATAGAGTAGTTTCGGCATGCACCATGGTATGCTCGGCGGATACCGCTGTACCATGTTGGCATGTCGAGTATGGGGAGCTTCAACGACATTCAATTGTCGATAAGAAAGGAGAGATGTGTGTGTGTGTGTGTGAGAGAGAGAGAGAGAGAGTGTGTGTGTGTGTGTGTGTGTGTGCATGGGGGTGGGGGTCAATGAACTTTTAAAAAAAATCCAATTTCAACCCATTATAAGTACTAAATATATCCCACCAAATTAGACAACATCAAATCTTTCTTTTCTCTAAAAAATGATTTCTTCATCATCGTCTTCTTCCTTTTCCAGTAACCTAGAATTCATGCTAAAAGTCGTGATCACCATTGCTAATTCGTTGCAACAAGAATTAGATGATAAAAACGGGAAATATGCAATGGAGACGAAAAAGACATATAAAAAGAGGTTGTGAAGCTGCCCACCAGTTTCTGATACATGATTATTTTGATATGTATGCTATTTCCTAAGGTTTCTATTTCCGACATCAGGTCCGGATGCACAAACATTTGTTTCAATGTATATTAGAAGATGTGACAGCAATGTATGGATTTTTATACACAACGCCCAAATGCAAAAGGTACAATATGATTTCATTATTTACAAGAATGCACAACCGTGATTCGTATGTTATCATATGGCACCTTACCCCTGACAAACTAAATGAGAGTTTTAGAATGTCCATACATATCCAAAGAGAAAGTTTTCGCAATTTTTACAAGTATGTCGTGAGATTGTATAGTTCAAACTATTTGCATTACTCTATTTCCAATGACAAACACAAGTTGTATGCTCATCATGCAAACGTTCATGGCTTCCTTGGATTGTTAGGAAGCTTGGACTACATGCAAATTGTCTAGCTGCATATCATGGGAAATATATGTGTGGTAATCAAGGCTATATATCAATTATACTTGAAGCTATAACCTCACATGATTTGTAGATCTGGCATGTCAACTGCAGAAGTCACATTTCTCTTAAGGACATTAATGCTATGAATAATTCACCAATATTAAATAAGATGTATGATGTATTGCACCAGATTTCTCATTTGTATTACGAGGAGGAAGGCGATGCAAATTCGATTATTATCGTATGGTTTTTATTCATAGACAGTCTAATTATAGTGACGTAAGTAGCAACAAAAACATTTTTAGATTTGAATAAACTAAAACAAATTTAACCCACCAATGATCATTTTGCAAAGCTTAGAAAGTTTAAAACAACCATATGAAGAAAAGTGTTACAACCTTTGAAGACTTTGATTGTAACAACATAATTTTTCAAACCAAATTTTTCATTTTTAATTCATAAAAACACAATCATAATGTTCAACATCAATCATTCATTTAACAAGTTTTCAAAATCTCAAATAAAAGCCAGGATCCACAACAACTCTTCTTAAACATATGGTGTGTGTACAATCATGTCGGTGCCTTCCCATGGTCCTCTGAAGTACCTGAAACACATAACAAATAAACGGTAAGCATGCATGCTTAGTAAGTTTCCCAAAATACCATGTACATACAATTAGCTACTCGAGGCTATAGCTTTACGAGACCTTCCGGTCTATGTGTCTCAGGGACCTTCCGGTCCCATAACCTAAGTAAACCTTTCGGCCCCACTTTGTCGACCTTCCGGTCCATCCCATATTGACCTTCCGGTCCATACACTGCTGACCTTCCAGTCCATACCTAGATTGACCTTCCGGTCCATCTCACATTGACATTTCGGTCCATATCATATTATTCATAACATACATAACACATACATATCACATAGAAACATATATCACATACTCGTCATAGCACGTAAGACCTTTCGGTCACACATAATTACCACTCTAGGTAAGGCATAGTTAGAAGACTCACCTCATATGATATCTAGTAACTCACGTGCTCGATATCCCCGAACTCGAAACGATGACCTAGCCCCCGCCTAATCACATAAAGTAATTATCTCAAATTAATACCTGCACCATTAACACTTCGAAAACCAAGGAAGATTTCAAAGTGTAAACGATAAACAATTTTCGCACTGTTATTTACCCTTTAGTCTGGGGGCTTGATGGTGTACCCGAGTTGGCCATTCTGGCTGACATCAACCCGGTATAGCAAGTTGGTGGATAAAACGACAAAAACACAACTATTTAAAGGATGACAGACTGTAATGCAATATCGATATACGATGAATAAAGTTTCCCTAAACGATACATCCTAGAAATTACGTATAAGTACAAGATCCTAGCAATATAAAAAGTACTCATCAATACAAACCACATAGTTGCCCTTACCCAGGTAATGCAAGCTACCAGGTAGAACCCCGTAGCGGAGAACACTAAGATGCCTATAAAACCCCCAGAAAAATGCATTAAGAAGGTAATGTTTCCGAAACCTAAACAATTTACTCAGAGCCTTAATCAACATCTAACTTAGACATCGGATAACAAGACTTAGGTCCATCCATCAGTATAACTTTTTAATTTAGCTTTTGTCTATCTTATGCAATGTGACTTCCAAAATTCTCTTTAGAAGAGATCCTCAATGACTAGCTAACAACGTATCCGCAAGCCCACGTAGTAACATGTTTCATTTTTTTTGGATAAAAATATGATTAAATTAAGTAAATAGTCTTAAAAGCTAAGAAACATATCAAAAAAGTAGAAAAGACAAATGCAAGGGTAGAATGGTCTTTTACAAGTAACTTAACGGAGACATATGGATAATGATTGGCCTAGGGACTAAAATTGAAATCAAAACCTCTAACAAGGACCATTTTTGAAAAAATCAACAAAGTAGGACTTAAACTGCAAAATCATGCTAACCATAGAACAATTTCTGTCTTTTAGTCTTTTTTTGTTAGTATATAAGCAGTCAATGCGGTCTTTCGTTATGGTCTTTCTTTATGATTACAGTACATGATTGGTAGCTAGACAGAGTATTCGAATCCTTAAGAATATGACTCCGATGTTTTCACGAAGAAGGAGAAGACATGGATCGTAATTCTTTTCCCCTCAATCCAGGTCCCCCCTCCCATTCTGGTAGCTTTTCTTTTTCGCATCTGAGATTACAGATTTATTCACCCTGTTCAGCTATTCGTCATATAATCTACCAAAAGATTCGGATTTGAACATCTGTGTGCAACCAAAAGTCCAACCTTCCAAGTCAACGCAATAATGGCTTCCTTTGTTAGGATTTCAGGTAATCATCTAAACTGAAATCCCAATACTGTATCTAGCTTGCTAGATCTTCGATTTAGCTTCTTCTCTTTTTCCCTTTTCTGCTCTGCTGCTCGTAGTTTGGTATCTGATGCTTTGCTTTAAACTGGAGCTTACCTATATTCATTCGAAACAGAACTATGACCTTAACATTTTTATTGGAGTTTATGCTTTAAAAAGTTACGAATTGTTTATCATATCTATTCTATCTTTTTAACATGATTTTATTATCTACAAAGATGATCCTATTCCTCTACTAGAACTTTATTCTTATCTTATGGGAATTTCAGCACTACTATGGGCGGATTTGTTAGCTGCATTTGCAATGTATATCATGATGACATACTTAACAAATGTCTGGAATCTAAGCACGACACATGCTGCTGGCATTATAAACATTTGGGATGGAATCACAGCAGTTTTAGCCATTGTGTTTGCATATATTGTCGATTCCTTCTTAGGCGACTACTATATGCTTCTTCTCTCTAGCATTTCCTACACTATAGTAAGTTATTCAACGCACAATATTTCCATCTGTAACTCCTAAAAAAATCTAAAACCAAACCAAATCAATACAGGGATTAGGTTTGTTGTCCATGTCAACACCTCCAGTCTTCGGCCCATGTAATGAGTACGAAGAGAAATGTATTGGACATACACAAAAAGTCTTGTTTTATACTGCTTTACCATTAATAGCAGTAGGAATGGCTGGTCATGTAGTCTCCTTAATGGCATTCTTGAATCTACAAACAAACAATGAAAACGAAGCCGATAAAGATAAAGATACAAATAAAGAGAAAGAGAAAGAGCACGAAAAAGAGAAAGAGGGAAATAAAATATATTGGCAAATGTTAGGTTTATTAATAGTGGTGATTGTACTAATTGCTGGAGGTATTGCACTTCCATATATAAAGCCATGGTCAATCCGCTTTGGGATTCCAGCTATATGTACATTGGTTGCAACACTTCTGTTCTTTAGTGGACATTCAGTGTATAAACCATGTAAGCCAGCTGAAGGGAGTCCATTAACAACCACATTAAGAGTCTTTGTAGCTACTACACGTAAGTTTTCTCAACCACTTCCCGATCCTAAAGAGCTTTACAATGAGGAAGATACTCGATCCACCAGTAGCCTTAGGTACTCTCTCTCTCTCTCTCTCTCTCTCTCTCTCTCTCTCTCTCTCTCATTAGAAAAAGAACACTGAAAATAGTCGCAATGTAATTACATATACTTTATATCATGTTTTGAATGTTTTAATGATTCTAATTTGAAACACACAGGTGCTTAGACAAGGCAGCTATTAAGTTACAAGAACAACCGGAATCAAAAAACTGGAACCTTTGTAGTGTTCGCGAAGTAGAAGACACGAAGATCGGAATCCGTATTCTCCCAATGTGGCTAACATTCATAGTAATCGGAATCGTGCTTTCGATCGGAAACACGTACTTTCTTGAACAAGCTAATCGAATGGATGGTAAACTTGGAAAAATCAAGATCACGATTCCGATCTTTCTTTTGTTCTATCAAATATCAAGGAGCATATCCACATACTTTTACTCCATCCTTACAATGTGTTTCAACAAGAAATATGCTCCTCCAGTTGGGATAGCTACAGGAATGGTTTTATCTGTATTATGTTGTATTACAGCTGCAAAAGTGGAGACTCGAAGATTACATGTGATTAGGGATCATGGGTTGTTAGACAAACCTGATGAGAAGATCCCAATGAGTATATTTTGGTTGCTTCCACAGTATATGCTTCTTGCAGCTGTTGATGGGATTGCTAACACGAGTATCACAAGTTTCTTTAAGCATCAAGCTCCTGAATCGATGAGGAAATATTT